GATTTTTCGTTCGAATTCATCATTGTTAATTAATTGTCCTCGATATACGGTTTTTCATATTTGAAACTGTTGTGTTTTCTCTATCACTGACTGACAAGCGATGCAATTTCATTAGCTCTTCATATAAATGTTTAATAAAGTATCTTAATGCATAGAGTGTATCAATATGTTGCTCTCTGAGTGCAATATTTAAAAGACAATAGAGAAATGTATCATGTGTATACCAGAAAGTAACATTGTGCAGATCATAATAATCTTTGAATTCTTCGATATATACTAACTGTCGCTCATTGTCTGCAGACTTTTGACAACAATAGTCTAGTATTTCATTTTCGATTGAACCAATTTGAGTCAAGCTAGCTCTTAACATTTCTGCATACATAAAGTCAGCTTCCTGGTGTTTTGCGTCTTCGCGAGCAACTGACAACGACGATGATGCACTGATATTTAAGCGGAATAATGAGTTAAAAATAAAATCTTCGGATGTCAAATGATGTTCTCACTGTCGCTCTAGCTGCTGATCCATTGTGTGATTTGTTATTGATGCTGATTCTTCGGTAGCCGTTGCGGGCAGCAGCTCTAAGCTTTTATGATAACCACGTATTTTTGTACATTCTGGAAATTTTATCAAATTTGCTGTTGTATTAAAACAGAATAAATAAATAGAATTAACTTCAATTAAATCTTCTATCAATTGTAGAAATGCTGAATTCACAGTATCTTCTAGGGATAAATAAGTCAAAATAATAAGCAATATTTTAGTCGTTTTATTTTGTTGTTGGCTGATATCATGTATTTCATCAATGCATTTATGCTTATCGTGTGATAGTATAATGTCATCAACATTGTTTGCAATATTTATGTATTAAATGATTGAACTTAGATTTAGTATAGTAGTCTGAAATTGATTGTGTTTCATTCTGCCAAATGATATGTAGTCGATTTCTTGTATCCATTGTGTTTTTTTTCTTATTCAACTTTATTTTCTTTAGTTTTCATACTTAAAAAATTTTTGTTACCTTTGAAGCACATAAATGTTCCTTTCCTTTTTTTTATCCTTTTCGCTTCCAATCTTTACATACTGTTTATAAAATCCTTCACCATACGCGGCTCAAGCCGACGTTGCGATAGAAAATGGCAACAAAATAGAACGAGAAAGTAATAAAAATAATGATGCCCAATGGTTATAAAACGTACTTCCTTTTTATTATTATTGTTTTTTTTATACTGCTAATGAATGTAACACTTGGCCATGTTTATATGATTGAAAAAAGGAATTTATCAGAGTTTACTATCAGAAAATAAATTTTATAATACATCGTACATACGCTTTTTCTAAAAGGCGTAATACAAATTAAAATTTTTTTCCAAAATTTGTAGTTCCCAAATACATTTCTTTATGTTTTTTTATGATCGAATACTTTATAGACTTTATTGTTAACAGCGGAAGGCAGCTAGTTTTATAACCTTAATCGATATATTTCTAGTTTATTTTATAGAGGAGGCGAGTGTTCTCCGCGAAGAAAAAGTGAGA